ATACACGCACACAAAATCCACTTCTGCAGCCTGCATGTCCATATGGAGGGCAGGTGACGACTGCAGATCCCACGGAGCACAGGGCTCCCCGCAGAGCTCCAGGGAGGAACCCCCCGACGTTTTGCCTCCAGTCATGAACAGACGGCAACCAATGCGTTGGGTCAAACACGGCAACACCCGGCATCGCCAGCAGGACCCTCAGCGCCCAGCAACCCTGCCCCCGGGTGCGGGGCTTCACCTCTCCATTAGCGAGAAAGTAAATTATTGTCCATCAACGACTGAAGCTGATCTATTTTGAAGTTACTGCGTCTTCTAAATCCTAGGTCATTCTATATTTCAAACACCAGACTTTCCATCAAGCTCATTTTAATCTTCTAGATGGAAATTCACTTTCTTTTCAGGTACCACTACACGGCTCTGAATGGAACTTGCACCTCCAGATCAGCACAAGGGGAGCCAAACAATTTGACCTTGGTTTCTGTTTCAGATAGTTACTAAGACATTGTTCTGGTCGGGAATCTTTAGCCAGATAAACACCTCTCTGGGGGCCAACTGCTGTTCTCCTTCCCCTCCCTGTGTGCCAAAAGCTTCGCATGCTGTAAAATCAGTTATGAAGGGAGTGCTCCATTACAATGGTGGTGATCGGTATTATGGAAATGCCCAGGATAGCAGCAGATGTAATCAGGCAGTCAAATAACTCGTGCTTTCATTTGATGCCTAATCATACATACCTCCACCATTATCTCGCTGTACAAATATTAAGACTGTGAGTGCAAGCGTGCGTGTCTGTATAAAACAATGACATTCAACGCTAAGATCTTACCGGGGACAAAAAGCAGCTGTGAGTTTTATGCTATTTTCAAACATTGAAACCTTTTCATTCATTCCTAAATTAAGGTTTTTAGTCTGACACAGAGAACCTTCAAGAAAACCTTAGGAAAATTAACCAGTCCAGGTACAAAATGACCTTGCCTAGCATTACACAGCAATGATAATGAAAGCAAGGACTACTTAGTACTTACCAAAAATAATAATTATTCTAGATTAGTGACTAAGCAGACCATACTAAGAATCCTTACATTTTAGAAGTAAGTTTGTTTACTTTCTAGAGTTTGTAAAACACCACAAGAGTTCTACAGAATTTTACTAATATTTGGGAACAAAATATTCTTTTGCCAGCAAAGCAATCAGATAGCCACGGGAAAAATAAATCAAAATACCAAGGTGAAAAAGAAAAGGTCTGCAGAAGCTTAGTAATTGGTAGGAGTTTTTAAGAGCCAGGCACAACGTTTTAAACTGTATGCCGTGCAGTAGACTTACCGTGACATTGTAATTGATGCAACCCATTTGCCACTAACAGCGAGAGAGGAACCTCTGCTTGTAAATTCACTCTGGAGACTAGAAACACTTGGAGATTTCCAGAACTCGAATTAAAGTGAAGAGGCATAACCATCTGGCAAGACTTTCCCAATCAATAAGCCACCCTACCTGAGACGAGCGGGTGTTCCCCACCAGTGCCCTGCCCGCTCCTGCCAGCCCAGCTGCCCAGAGGGTGCTCGAATTTGGGCTGTTAATTGTAAAAGGAGACCATTAAAGCAGGCAGAAGAGCAGTCAGGGTTTTTGTGCTGAGAGATGTGTTAAAGGGTTGGCGAAGCGCACCGCGATGCGCATGCTGAACTGCGAGTCCTGTGCAGGCATATGGCAAATGTTTTCCAGCTACTAGCTCCAGTTTGAATTAAAGTAGCGTGGCTTTCTCAACTTGCAGTATGCAGTTCCAATAAAGCCCTTTAAAGCCAATTTCTGATCAGTTTGCCTGTTGGCACACCATAGACATAGGGAACATTTCCACAATGACAGCAATTTCTTTGTTGGCGGGGACTCTTGGGGCCATGTGGACGCAAATGTGAATAGATTTGGGTTTATTTTGGTTTTCTATAGCAAATGCCACGGCAGGTCTTGCAAAGCAAAACTATACCCAGCAGGTACTAATCAGCAGACCCTAATGCCAGCAGGCTCACACCAATTTCCCTCTTAAAAGGAATCTGAGGAAACGGAACAGGTATTAGGGGGGCTGTAGAGTGACTTTAAATTTCAGATCAAGGTCTTTCAGAGCATCAGTCCCAGTGAACCTGGGAGCCATGCAGCACAGCTGGATTTCACTCTTTATTGTAACGCCAAAGACAGGTTTAAAGAAACTCAGAGATCTTATTAAGTGGTTTTTTGAACTGAAATCTTGTTCGTCTGACCCAGCTGTAGCATCAACACCCTAGCTCCTCAGTGGGGGTGAGATGTGGGACAGGGTAGGGTTGAACAGGGCTGATATGTGGTCCATGGCCCAGCAAAACCGGCCCCTGCGCTCGCTTGGCATCCCTGCACCACACATACTCAGCCCTCAGGGCAGTTTATTCAAACCCAGCAGAGTCCAGTCACTTATATCGGCCCAGATTTCCTTCTCCTTCTGCTTTCTTTCACATTAAATTCTTCTGGTTAGCCAGCTTTGGGAACCATAACTCTTTTCTATTATCTACCCAAGCCTATGTATTTTTCCTCCATTAATTCACCTAGTACCTTTGTGCTGAAACAACCCAGATATGATTTAATAAGCTTTAGAAAGATAGTACTGGTTCATACGCAGGAAATCAGATTTACATAATTTTCCTCTCGCTTTTATAGCCACCGTAGTTCAAATTATCTTTACGTTGGGGAAACTCTTTTAATATGATAAAATTAAATACTACCTACGCTATGCTTCAGCTTGCTAGCCTGGTTTTTGTAATAAATTAAATGTTGATTTGTCATACTGACTTATCACAGAAAGTTCCTTTTCCGTGAGAAGAGGAGAGAGCGCCCTGTCATGCAGTTAGTCATGGTTATACGCCACTAAACTAAGCTCCAAAATCAAGTTTCATCTTGTATTTTTTTTATTACCTGAACCTTTCTGCATGGGGCGGGGTGGGGGGAGAATGACTGATTTTTGGTTTTATCCCATACCCTGCGCCTGATAAGTTGTCACACGTTGAAAATGGACCCGGCAGCACATGGCACAGATGTCTCTATAGAAAGCAAAGGGACGTTTACATTTCAGTGTTCAGACTGAACAAGACTTGAAATTCAGGAGACCATGTCCTGCAGAATCAAACAAGATTTGGTGAAAACCACAGGTTTACTTTTATTTCTTGGGTGATCGCTGTAGTGTCTCCTGCTCCTGCAGACAGGCTGTGATTTTACTGAAATCTCTCTTGCTTTGCTATCGTCGTTCATCTTGGGGGGGCTTTCCATGCAAGCCAGATGCTGGGTGCTGACCCCACCGAGCCAGGTCCCACTCTCCTCCCCGGGCTTCATCCTGCCCACACCGTGCAACCCTCCCAGACACCTTGGCAGCATGGCTCGCGCTTGCCGTCAGGAATGCTTCACTGCTCCTCCTCTCCTCTACCAACAAGGGAAGCACGTGAGGATTTGGTGAAGTTTGCTTATTCCAAAGCGCTGCCTGTGCCATACCCTGGTGTCTCCCTGCCAGAGGTGGACTTGGCACTGGTGAGGGGCAACGGTGCTGTCAGGGGTAGCTTTCTCCTGGGCAGGGTGGTGGGACAAGCTTCGGCTTGGCCCCAGGAAAACTGTCTTCTTCACTATTGGTACCTGCTCTGTGTAGCCGTCTCCCGTGTACTTGCAGAGCAGAGCAGAGCTGTTGGCTGAAGTCTCATCTTCAGACCATCTCTTGGTGTCCTTGGTCCAGATAGCCCCGTGCCTTGAGGAGACCTAGGGATGGCAATGCAATGCGGTGAAAGGAGAGATCCTGCAGAAGAGGCAGGACCCTCCACATGGTATCCAACCCTCCACCAGCCTGAGGCTCCCAAAAGACCTCTCCATTCACACATGGCTTGCGTGTTTTTCAAAGTAGCCACATTAGCGGTTTCTCCCTTTTGCAGTGCAGCCGTTGGGTTGAGCATCCCCAGCTCAGTTGAGATGGGTCATCAGGAATGAGCCTGGAAATGTCTGTTGCCCTCCAGCCTTTCTGAAACCTCTGTCCTCTGCGAGCAAAAGGCCTTGAGCACCAGGGTGTGGGCACCAAGCTGGCTCGGTCTTGCTCAGCATCCACCAGCTAATCTCCATCCCTGTTTCTGGCAGACACTGGGTGCCTTTAGTCAAAAAAACAAATTCCGCAACTTGTAGCTAAATAAAGTGCCATTGACATAAGCGGTGCCAGCTTGTAGAAATGGCACTCAATACAGGACTTGCACAGATCCTATGTTTTAGAACAACCTGTAGTATATTCACGTAGTCTGGAAAGCAAAGCCAGTGATACCAGTGTTCAACCAAAGAGCACAGGATGCTGCGTGTGACTGGAAGAGGTTGGGGCTTCATGCATCGTATAAAAGAAAATGATTTGATTTGCGAGAAATTTTGTACAGCCTGCCTGCGACTGCTGCAAGTGATTGTCTCCTCACTGGTTTCTCAGCACTGTTTTCTTATATTTTAATTATTTTTTGCACGTACTTATTGTAATATTTAGTTAGGAATTTGAGAAAGGCTTTATACTAAAGCAAGTAAATCCAATTTCTTCTAAGAGACTGAAAATAAAGATGAATGTCTTTGGCTAAGCAAAATTGTCAAACTTCGGTTCCTAAAGTCAGGCAGAAAATGAGTTGTTTTCCAACAGAGCTAAATATATTCACCTCTCATTGATTTCAGTGGAGATCTTAATACTCAGTAACTTAAAAACAGATAAATTATTCAGATGTTTAAACATGAAGCGCTCATCTGATGTTAACTACACATTTTTAACTGCTTGCATTAATAATGATTTATCCTTTAAAGACAGAAAGTAATATTCACTGAGCGGTGTAGCGGGAGAGCTTGCCTACCTTTGCAGCACTTTCTCCAGTTTTCAGAAGAATGCTTTTGCTGCCCTAACAGTTATCTTAGAAGAATTCATGAAAACTAAGAATGTGGGGGTCTGAGAGTGGAACATTTCACTTGACCTCTTTTTCTTCTCTTTGCAGCTCCCAGTACAGCCCAGTACGGGATCACCGGTGACGCCGAAGTCCTCTTCTCCTGCTGGTACCTTGTGTTGACACTGTCCTCCCTCACCAGCATATTCTACCTGAAGAACATCATTCTGCACTAAATGTAAAGACCCATAAAAGGCTTTTAAGGATTCTCTGAAAGTGCTGATGACTGGATCCAATCTGGTAGAGTTTGTTAAAAGCAGCGTGGGATATAATCAGCAGTGCTTACATGGGGATGATCGCCTTCTGTAGAATTGCTCATTATGTAAATACTTTAATTCTACTCCTTTTTTTGATTAGCTGCATTACCTTGTGAAGCAGTACACATTGTCCTTTTTTAAGACGTGAAAGCTCTGAAATTACTTTTAGAGGATATTAATTGTGATTTCATGTTTGTAATCTACAAGTTTTCAAAAGCATTCAGTCATGGTCTGCTGAGTCGCAGACTGTAGTTTACAAAAAAAAATATTGCAGTAAAAATGTGCTTCTTTAAGGCTGCAATACAAACATTCAGTTCCCTTCTTAAATAGCATTCTATCCACATTTACACAGAAACATTTTTTCTTTTTTGATTAAAAAAAATCAAATAATATTGCCTTCAAAATATTTCTTCAAAATATTACAGATATCTAGATTTTCTTCTAGCATGATATTCAGGTTTCAAGAATGAGCCTTGTATTATAACTGCATTGTGCAGTACTGCTTTCTGTTTTCTTTCCTTTTTCCTGCAAATTCAGCATGGGTGTGCCTTCATAAAACACTACTTTCCTCTTCCTCTCCAACAAATCTGGAATGTGTTTTGGGAAATGCTAAAGCATCCTTTTGAGCATAAGAAATCTCCAGTCGAGGACCAAGGTGCTATTGGCTAGCAGGAAAACCTCCTCTCCCGTCTCCAGGGGGTCCTCAGTCTGCTGCAGGCTTCACTGTTCTAGGCAATCGGGCAAGGGCAGCACCAACTCCTTTTTGTGTTTTCCTTCTACCACCACTAACCAGCAGGTGATCTCTGTAAAAACTGGTTTTCCCATCCCAAAACAGAACGCAAATTATTTTGAGCCATCTTTGAAATGTGGGAACATTTCCCTTAGTCATTCTAAATCCAAATTCCGAAGTGGCTGTAAATGTGAGAAGCTGAATAGTCCCTTTTGTATTACCGGCAAATACTATGTGAATCGGTATTTTTCTTGCACTTAATTTTGTACTGGTTTGGCTAACTTAGCAATGATAAAGGATGCTTTTAAATATTAGATATCTGAAAATACATGAAGTATCAAGCAGAATTTTATATATATACATATATATATAAAATACATATATATATTAAAACGAGGTTGCTCCAACAACTGTACTGAAGTGCATGTTGCCATCCATGATAGAATCATCTTTGCAGACAGGACTTCATTACCGATGTACTAACACTGTACCAACAGCTTAGCACAGCAGATAAGTCCTCATACCCGATTTCCTAGCACTGCAGTCTATCGAGATAACACTCCTTTCACTCAGAGAAGGATCAAGTTTCAAAAGAGCATATAATGCTACTAACTTTTTTTTTTTGAACAGCCCCTGACAGCATTAACACAAAATGTTGCTCACGGTTTACAGGTGAATTTAAAAATGCCATCAGTGTAAATTGCTGGGAAATGACTCTGGCCAACAGCCCTTGAATACAAGATGCCCCGCTGACCCCAAATAGATGCTGACTGACTTACAGAACTATCGATGACCAGAATAAGAAATCCATTATCGACATTATTATTCCCCTGTTTTGTATAAGAACTCTAGCAGGCGACACAACTATTATACTCCATTTTTTCCTCCTGACAGTAGGGTTTTGCAGTGAGCAGGAGCAGACGAGCACTGTGCGTACCGAGCAGTTCCACACTCGGATCGCAGAGAGCCCCGTGTTTGAACAGGCAGACCCGGAGTTCGCTCGTCTCGATACACACTACCCCATGCCAACGTGTGGAGAGAATAGGCAGTGAACCTGCTGTAGGTACTGATAAAGGGTATAAACAGAAATATGATGACCCCAAAATATGGCTATAACATGTCCTGGGTCACTCCGCATAAGTTCGGTGACAGATCGTGCTGTTCCTGTCGTATTATTTACAGTTGTGTGCTCAGCAGTTGCTGTTTTCAGAAACGTGGCATTTTTTAAAACCTTGAATAACATGATAAAATTCATTCTTTAAGGAAATAGTATAAAACCAATTCAAACTATACTAGACACAGTCCTGATAGGCTGATCTCTCTTGTATTGCAGCTTTAAAGTGCTAAATGTTAGAATCCATTCGCTAGAAACAGTGGTGCTGCAGAACGTATCATGTCAGTACAGTTCTATGAAGTAAGAAAAAAGGATACGCATAGCCCAGCTCATATGCCCCATTGCACATAAAACTGAGAGGTGTTTCTATACTGTGGCTGGATCAAATAATATATTTCGATGATATATTTAATTTCAGTGATTCCTGGTGTCTGGAACCTGTTATTTCCAGCAACAGAATAGAATGAACAGCAGCTTTATTAAATATGATAAAAAAAAAATCAAGTATTAACTGTCTGCATTCGTACCAGGTAGAGCCACTGGTTAACCTGGACAAGACACTCAGTCCCATCTCTGAATTTTCCCTTAAATTTGGGGAGGGATATAATTATTGTCAGATCAGAAAAAGAAAAAAACCCATACAACCCATAAATGCTTCTAGGTGCCAGTGGCGTTTCCTTAGGTGAAACAGGTATTGAAGTGCCAGTCAGGACCGCGTGGTCAGCAGCGGCCGTGTACGCGTGTGCGTGAGCACGCGTGTGCGTGTGCAGGGCAGCGCGAGGCGTGCCGGGACTGCGCACCCGCAGC